GACCCATGTGCAAAGTTTCAAGAGTTTTCGAGCACGTTAAGGGCCCCAAAAATGCCCAAAAGGTTACAAAATAATAATAATAAATAATCCTTAGGAAAACAATAGGGCCTTCGCCCTTTCAGGGCTTGGGCCCTAAATATAGCTGCGAGCAGCGATGGCGGGCCCAAGCCGGTGGCACCGCAACCCCGGTTCCTTTAGTTACCTAAATGCACCCGGGTGGCGGTGCCGAAGGCTTTGGCCCTTTTATGATTAAATGTTAAAACGGCTTGCCATACTCTGTCATTTCGACTAGTCACAATTATGTTACAGATATCTTAAATGATAATACAAACTATCCAAAATGTAATTACGAATAGACAGAAAGACGTTGTTGATATCTACAATGTTAATTCCGGACAGGCAAACTTAGCTTTTAAATGTTAAAAGGGCTTGCCATACAGGGACGTAGGCTCAGAGAGAGGCTCACCATATTCAAACCAAAATATCTGACTTCCTCTTGGTCCGAGCTAATGACTATGTATTAGAAAGTTGTCCGGCTTGAGGAGTACAATGTATATAGCGATTTTTGTAACTGTAGATAAAACTAACAACCCCACTTTTGTCAAAAGGTGGCGCTATTTAGTCCTTGCACTATGCCCGTTTCTGAAACTTTGCACATGTCTACTGGCTAATAAATGTGATGTATCTGTTGAGTTTCAAGCAATTTCAATTTCAATTTCAATTTGACTGTTGAAAAGAAGTGCGCCGATTAGATACTCAGGATCGGTATCGGCTCTGACACTGCCATCTTTGACGAGGCTGATTCAAATTCTATATTGTGCATATATACTATTCTATGTTAGGCACAAAGGCACAAAAACTTTCTAAAGTACCATAAAGTTTTTGTGTACTGTATTATTAGTGTTCTGAAGCTATTATGTGATATAGAAATTAATATTTAAGTCATTAAATTCAAGAACACAAACTTTTCCCTCTCTGCGCCTGTCAGTCATTCTCCATTCAGCATTCAAACAGCACGTCACATTCGGTTACAGTCAATGATGAAACGATCTTCAAGATGATTGAATGTTAATCCTATTATACTGGATCTTTAAGATAAAGGTCTAAAGGTCTATATTTTCGAATGAAGAAACTTTTTCTTGCTGGACTGTAACTTAATCGTGTTACTTTCTACCGGGTGTCGGACGCTGTCGGTTAGATCACAACACTAGAGTCAGAGCACTATAATTGTTCTTCACGCACACAGTAACTGAAATTTAAAACCTTTAAAAGAAAAGGCTCAATAAACTATTGCATAGATAGATAATGTATAATACACTGTTCATAAATATGTATTTCCTTTGTGCTTTGAACTTTTCAATACGGACTCACTGCGCTGTAACTTCATGTGGCTTCAAGCACATCATTCTCCGCTCGGGATGCACATAAGTGCTTTGTGCTGCACCGTATTGGAGCCGTAATATCATAATGCAGTGACGTAATGACAGATTATTAATTGCCTTTCAATTATATGTTGCTGCGTCATTAAACATCTGTCCTATGCATTTCAAACATTTATAGCAGCCATGGCTATATTTTTTTATGATTTTTGTTATCTTGTTTTTCATGAATGTATTTTTCAAAAATAAGAGCAATGTGTATTATCTATTATTAATATGGTTTATAATAGCATTTTTGTCATAGATTATGACAAAGTAATCATATGATCCACCAGCGAGGAACCAGCAGAACAGAGTGAACATTCTTTCTGTTTAGTTCAATCCTACTTAATAGGAATTTATTTAAAATGCTCGCTCTACTCCACACCATTAATGTCTTGTGCGGACATCCGTATTTCGACTTTCGGTTTTAAGTAAGCGATTTAAAAGCTCCCAAGTCCCAGCGGAGTCACACGTTGATTAACCGGTGGGAATATACACAATAGGCCTACCTGATATTGAACACAAGAGGGCAGTATAGCACTACGTATGACTCAGATTATTATTTTTTTATGAATTTTACAACAATTCTGGCTGTTTTTGAACGTAAACATAATTCTTAAATGAAAAAAGGAAAAATTGGGGAAGTTATAATATTTGTATAATTTAATTTAGAAACAAATGATGTATAATTACATTTTTAGAAGATATGAGGCTTTTAGTGTTTACTTTTTTGACATTACTTTAATCTTTTGCCATAGTTGCACATGTCTACTGGCTAATAAATGTGATGTATCTGTTGAGTTTCAAGCAATTTCAAGCATGCTAAGAGTCCCAAAAGCATCAAAAAAGAATGTTAAAGTTTGATTCGTTGCCACGGCAACAGTATCAAAGATATCAAAAATTCATTCACAGGTCTACATCTGCCGTGTATTTACATTATACAGATGAAGTTTGAAGCAAATCGGTTAAAAATAAGAGAGTGGTTTCAAAGCATTTTGAAAGTGACACACTTCCTGCTGCCAGTTGGTGGCGCTATAATTTTGACTCACAATAGTCACATCCATGTGATCGGTCTCTTACAGCGAAAACACTGCTGAAGTTTCATCAAGATCAGTTAATGTATGCTGAAGTTATAACACACATCCTGTTTCATGTTTTTCGCCATAATTTTGTTTCCTCGCCACGGCCAAACCGTTCGAGATATAAAAAATCCCTTGGCACCTTTTCATCCTTAATGTCTTGACTTCACGCTGATCGAGTTTTGTCGAATTTGGTTCAGTGCTCTAGGAGCAATACTTTAAATTCCATTGCATGTGTTTTAAACACAACCCTAAATAGCCGTCTTCCTGTTGGGCTGGGGTAAAAAGTAAGAGTGTGAAGTAGGCTATATATGAAACGATGAGATCTATATGTGTACCAAGTTTCATATTATTACATGCAAGTGTGTTTGATTTATGGACCAAATTTTCAGACCAAGTTTATTGACCAAGTTAATCTGATTAATAAACTAATTATATAAAACTATTGTCAATGCACTACAATTAAACTAGTTATATGTCTTTACTTATAAAAAACAAAAATAAAAACTTATTTAAAAAATACCAGGCTTGAGAAATGTATTTTCTTTATGCAGGTCATACACACAGCAGTGAAATGGTTAAGCCCCCTCCCCCTGCACACACACACACACACACACACACAGACAGCCAAAGACAGCCAAAGACAGCCAAAGACACAGAGACATGTAGGCTCAGAGTGACCATATTCAAACAAAAATATCTGAGTTTCTGTGGGTCCTAGCTAATAAGTGTAAATTAGAAAGTTGTCCGGCTCGAGGAGTACAATATACATACCAATTTTTGTAACTCTAGTTAAAACTAACAACCCCACTTTTGTCAAAAGGTGGCGCTACTGAGCCCTCACCACGCCCGTTTCTGAAACTTTGCACATGTCTACTGGCTAATAAATGTGATGTGTCTGTCGAGTTTCATGCATTTTGAAGCATGCTAAGGGTCTCAAAAGCATCCTAAAAGCATCCTAAAAGAAGGGTAAAGTTTGATGGGTCGCCACGGCAACAGTTTCAAAGATATCAAGAATCCATTCACAGGTCTACATCTGCCGTATGTTTACATTATACATATGAAGTTTGAAGCAAATCGGGTAAAAATAAAAGGGTGATATCAAAGCATTTTGAAAGTGACACACTTCCTGCTGCCAGTTGGTGGCGCTATAACTTTGACTCACAATAGTCACATCCATGTGATCGTCCTCTTACAGCGAACACACTGCTGAAGTTTCATCAAGATCGGTTGATGTGTGCTGAAGTTATGATACACTTCCTGTTTCACGTTTCTCGCCATGATTTTGTTTCCTCGCCACGGCCAAACCGTTCGAGATATCAAAAATCCCTCGCAAACTTTCATCCTCAATGTCTTGACTTCACGCTGACCGAGTTTCGTCGAATTTGGATCAAAGCTCTAGGAGGAGTATTAAAAATTCCATTGCGAGTGTTTTACGAACAACCCTAAATAGCCGACTTCCTGTTGGGCTGGGGTAAAAAGTAAAAGCACGAGGTATAGATGAAACGATGAGATCAACATGTGTACCGAGTTTCATATTATTACATGCAAGCGTGTTTGATTTATGGACCAAGTGTTCGGACCCCGTTCCAGGGGGCGCTGTCTAGCCCCCCTGCCACGCCCGGGTACCATCTTCAGCCCGGCCCTGATGGCCGCGGGTTCTGACCCGTGTGCAAAGTTTCAAGAGTTTTTGAGCATGTTAAGGGCCCCAAAAGTGCCCGAATAGTCGTATAAATAATAATAATAATAATAATCGTTAGGAAAACAATAGGGCCTTCGCCCTTTCAGGGCTTGGGCCCTAATAATCCTTAGGAAAACAATAGGGCCTTCGCCCTTTCAGGGCTTGGGCCCTAATAATCGTTAGGAAAACAATAGGGCCTTCGCCCTTTCAGGGCTTGGGCCCTAATAATCCCAAGGAAAACAATAGGGCCTTCGCCCTTTCAGGGCTTGGGCCCTAATAATCCCAAGGAAAACAATAGGGCCTTCGCCCTTTCAGGGCTTGGGCCCTAATAAAATATTAAAATTATTAAAACCGTATAATTAAAATCCAAATAAATTGTTTAATTTAATCTGAAGTACTAAAATTACTTAAAATTAAAACTGAAAAAAACAAAACAATTATACTTTTAAAAACGAATACAACTCACAAAAAACAACATTATTAAAACTAGAATAAAAATAATTGTTTTGTTTAGTTAAAGTACAAAAATGACTAAAACTAAAATAAAAATTACTTATACATTTAGAAAAACTCATAAAAATGACAAAACACAAAACTATAATTAAAAAATAATCTTTGTTTAGTTTAAGCTAAAGTAGTAAAATTACTAAAACTAAATTAAAAAACTAGTAAAAAAGTGTAACCTTTGAAAGTGGAAAATATACTAAATTAAAACTATTTAAAATATGAATAAATACTATAATATTACTACGAATATATTAATAATAACTGTTCTGGACACTGTCCAATGGTAATATAATGTGTTTTAGTGCATTTACCATGATACCAGCATGCTATTTCTTGCAATATGTTAAATTCCCACTTAAATAACATGGTTAATGATTACGTTAATGATCCAGCATGACTGTGTGAAACTCACCGACCAGATCCCATTCCCCGTTGGCGATGTAGCCGGTGATGTCGGCCTCCATCATCTGCAGGTCCAGAGCCCATCCGCCGTACGTCCACGAGCCGAACTTCAGGTCGCAGCGCTGGACGTCGAACGGGAACCAGCGCACGTCGATGTAGCACGTGCTCTTGAAGATCCCTGAACAAGCCACGTTTATTTCAACACAGCGACCAGAAAAAGAAAAAAAGAACCAGTTGTTTAAGAACGTTTACCTTTCCTTTTTTTTTTAATTGAGTGTTTATCAGAGGGGTCCAAGTCCCTAGGTCTTTTGTTGCAATTGAACCATGAATACACTACACACACAAAATATATATTTTTAATGGATTCGAGGAGTTTTGTGGTTGAAATTTAAAAAAGTAACAAATCCGTGGGTCAATTTGACCCCTTAGGAATTAATGGAAAGCGACTTTACCGAAAATGGATTTTATAATGTCAACATGTGCATCTGAATGTACACTGAAGAGAAACTGTCTTAAGGACCCAGCGGAACAGCTCATCTGCTCCATATAGAGACATAAGCCCTTCTAGAGTCATGAAATATCATCTTATATTACTATTTTTCACAAGAGGTCGACAAAGACCCAATGTAAGATATTTTGAGCTGAATTAAAAGGTTTATGCATGAAATTGTGAGTTATTTTGAATTTAAGTTTATTATTTCATGATCAAATCTAGTAATTTAAAGGCAAAATAAATAAATAAAAAAATCTCTAAAAAATGCATAAAAAACATTATCAAAATGAAATAAAAGAAGTTTATGGACAAAAACATTAAGTATAATTTTAGGGCTTCGGGTCATTTTGACCAGCGAGGGAAGGATGAGGGTTAAGATATCTGAAGAATCTTGTGTGGAATTGAAAGGTTCTATGGATGTTCAAGGTTCTTCATGGTTCATCAATGCCAACGAAGAACTTTTATGTTTAAGAAAGCATAGCCAAAAATAATTCCTCATATATCGGAAGAAGACATCCTTCCCTCTGAAGTCAAACTCCTGTGGATCTAGTTTGTCCCTCATTACTCTGAGTCTGAAGGCCTTCCAAACCCATTCTGCACTTCAGGCTGAGACTCGTGTGTGTGTATTGATTTCTGTCAGTGGACAGGTGGCTGCTTCCTCACAGTAATCAAGACGACACGCTCTGAGGTGAAAGTGTGTGTTTTCCAGGTGACAGGAAGTTAAGGTCACCCTGAACCCTGTTAACTCCACTAGGGATAAATGTTCCCGCCGCTGTCTTCGAGTCACGTCTCGTGGATCGTGTTTAGGAGACGAGCGCACGTGAGCAGCGCAACAATGATGTGGCAATGACCTGTGGGAAACTCAGGATTTACTTCGAGCCTTGGCTAAGATGATGAGAATAAATCTGGAGACGCAGCGCTGCGGATAGAAGCGGTTCAGCAGATTGACAGAAGTGAGTAGGTAGGTAGAACTTTAGGTATTTTGGAACTATGCATTTTGGAACTTTTAAATATTTTGGAACTATGTATTTTGGAACTTTAGGTATTTTGGAACTTTTTGTATTTTGGAATTATGTATTTTGGAACTTTACATATTTTGGAACTATGTATTTTGGAATTTTCTGTATTTTGGAACTTTACATATTTTGGAACTTTTTGTATTTTGGAACTTTACATATTTTGGAACTATGTATTTCGAAACTAGATAGGATTAGATAGGACTAGATTTAGGTATTTTGGAACTAAGTATTTTAGAACTTTCTGTATTTTAGAACTTTACATATTTTGGAACTTTTTGCATTTTGGAACTTTCTGTATTTTGGAACTTTCTGTATTTTGGAACTTTACATATTTTGGAACTTTTTGCATTTTGGAACTTTCTGTATTTTGGAACTTTCTGTATTTTGGAACTTTGCATATTTTGAAACCATGTATTTTAAAACTTTAGGTATTTTTTACATTTAGGTATTTTGGAACTATGTATTTTGGAACTTTCTGTATTTTGAAACTAGATATTTTTAAAACCATGTATTTTGGAACTTTAGGTATTTTGGAACTATTTATTTAGTAACTTTCTGTATTTTGAAACTTTAGGTATTTAGTAACTTTCTGTATTTTGAAACTTTAGGTATTTTGGAACTTTCTGTATTTGCAACTTTAGGTATTTTGGAACTTTCTGTATTTTGAAACTTTAGGTATTTTGGAACTTTCTGTATTTTGAAACTTTAGGTATTTTGGAACTTTCTGTATTTTGAAACTTTAGGTATTTTGGAACTTTCTGTATTTTGAAACTTTAGGTATTTTGGAACTTTCTGTATTTTGAAACTTTAGGTATTTTGGAACTTTCTGTATTTGCAACTTTAGGTATTTTGGAACTTTCTGTATTTTGAAACTTTAGGTATTTTGGAACTTTCTGTATTTTGAAACTTTAGGTATTTTGGAACTTTCTGTATTTTGAAACTTTAGGTATTTTGGAACTTTCTGTATTTGCAACTTTAGGTATTTTGGAACTTTCTGTATTTTGAAACTTTAGGTATTTTGGAACTTTCTGTATTTGCAACTTTAGGTATTTTGGAACTTTCTGTATTTTGAAACTTTAGGTATTTTGGAACTTTCTGTATTTGCAACTTTAGGTATTTTGGAACTTTCTGTATTTTGAAACTTTAGGTATTTTGGAACTTTCTGTATTTTGCAACTTTAGGTATTTTGGAACTTTCTGTATTTGCAACTTTAGGTATTTTGGAACTTTCTGTATTTTGCAACTTTAGGTATTTTGGAACTTTCTGTATTTTGAAACTTTAGGTATTTTGGAACTTTCTGTATTTGCAACTTTAGGTATTTTGGAACTTTCTGTATTTTGAAACTTTAGGTATTTTGGAACTTTCTGTATTTTGCAACTTTAGGTATTTTGGAACTTTCTGTATTTTGCGACTTTAGGTATTTTTAAATAGAATTTTTAAATTTACATTCCCAGAAGGACTTGGAAAGCATGATAACTTAACACACCCACATGAAGACTTCATCCCATCATCATAACAGGCAGAAATGGAGAGTTTTGTGAGTATTGTACCTGGCGGCAGGTACTGGCAGTATCCAGAAGAGTTGATCAGCACGTTGGTGTGAAATGCGGCGTCAAATCTCTCATCAGCACTGTTAGAAACCACAGACAAAGAAGAGTTTTCTTTTGTGTCACGCTTTGATCACAACATCATTCCCAGGGTTATTGTTGTTTAATAAAACTAAAACTAATTAAAATAACGCTGGAATAAAACTACATATAAATACTAGTTAAACAACTTAAACTAAACGAAAATTAGAAATGTTGCCTTGGCAATAAACTGAAATAGCAGTGCACGTGTCCAAACTTTTGACGGGTCATGCGGAGGTTTGGAAGTGCATCAGCGTGCAACTTTAGCAGGACAAACAGAACTATAAACCAGGAGCGGCTCGAGTCGGGAGTCAGCGGAGTAAATCACAGTTATTTAAGAAGCCACAAAACTGCCAAAGATGAGAGAGAGAGAGAGAGAGAGAGAGAGATTCAGCCATGACAGCAATCAAAGGCCAAACCCTCATTCACTGAACTTCCTCGCTCTTCTCCGACACAGAGCTGAAGGGAACGTGTGCAAGAAGAGACGAAAGCTGAGATAACATCTTCTACAGTGACATAAATCTATAATCAGTGTGGTCTGATCACAAACACTGTTTGTACAGGAGTTAACAAACCCAGCATTGACCAGCATTCTTCAGATCTTCTCTTGTGTTCACATTAAGTTTCTTAGCTTTTGTTTAAATCACTGTAATCAATGCATTCGGATACAGTCGGAGTAGCTATCGCTCCTGGATGGGACGGGAATTGACAGAAATCCAAAAAAATTACAAACTTTCCGATTTTTAAGCTATTTGATGATGCATCATAGCTATTAAATAATATTTTAAAAATACAATTGAATCGATCATACTCGATTGACCTGATCCACATTAAAGTTTAAAGATGTTTTTGTATACAATAATTAAAATGGCCATATATTAGTCTTGATGTGTTTCAGGCTCTACTAGAACAGGTTTTCCTGCTTGCTTTATTCTGCGTATGAATTATTATAAGTTATAACGAGGAATATTGTGACGTGTTCGTTCCGGGGAGAATCTCAAGACTAGAATGAGTTCAGAAACACTGACTGCGATATAGAGAAGAACGTTTTCATGCTCAAACAGCAACATTACACACTATAGAAAGATAAACAAGGGAAAAAGCATAAAACAGGTTCTTGGATTTCTTCCAACTGCGTTTGGGGTTTGGGATCTGGCTTTGGGATCGGGATTCCAAAAGGGGGTTTGGATCGTGATTGGGTTTGGGATCCGGCTTGGGGATCTAGCTTTGGGATCTGATTTTGGGATCCAGCTTTGGGATCGGGGTTTGGGATCGTGATCGGGTTTGGGATCCGGCTTTGGGATCAGGGTTTGAATCGTGATCGGGGTTTGGGATCCAGCTTTGGGATCGGGCATTGGGATTGGGGTTTGAAAACCAGCTTTGGGATCGGGGTTTGGGATCCGGTATTGGGATCGGGGTTTGGATTGGGTTTGGGATCCGGCCTTGGGATTGGGGTTTGGGAACCGGCTTTGGGATCGAGCATTGGGGTTTGGGAACCAGCTTTGGGATCAGGGTTTGGGATCCGGCATTGGGATCAGGGTTTGGATTGGGCTTTGGGATCCGGCCTTGGGATTGGGGTTTGGGAATCGGCTTTGGGATCGGGCATTGGGGTTTGGGAACCAGCTTTGGGATCAGGGTTTGGGATCCGGCATTGGGATCGGGGTTTGGATTGGGCTTTGGGATCCGGCCTTGGGATTGGGGTTTGGGAACCGGCTTTGGGATCGGGCATTGGGGTTTGGGAACCAGCTTTGGGATCAGGGTTTGGGATCCGGCATTGGGATCGGGGTTTGAATTGGGCTTTGGGATAAGGCCTTGGGATTGGGGTTTGTGATCCAGCTTTGGGATCGGGGTTTGGGATCCGGAATTGGGATCAGGGTTTGGGATCTAATTGGATCGGGTTTGGGATCTGGCTTCAGGATCCGGTTTTGGGAACCGGCTTAGGGATCTGTCTCTTGTACCTGTTATACAGCAGGATATCCGGCCTCCAGATGAGGGAGTCTGGGAATCGAACCGTGCTGACGCCGGGATAATCGCTGGTGTTCCACTGCAGATAATAGTCGGTCCAATACTGCGACACACACATGAAGTCAGACACATTTACTGCTTTAAAAATTAAAAGGTTATTTGATGGTTCTTCGTATTTAGTAGAATTACCCTGTTCTAATCATTGTTGCTATATTTTAATACACTTAAAATACATGTTAAATCGAAATACGGACTTAACTTAAAAAAAGTCATTTTAAAATTAAATTTAAAATTAATGATGAACTTAATTCAACACAACTAGTCGATTTAGCTGTAGATTATTAACTTACATTTAAAATAATGATAGATTTACAAAAAGATCCTTGGTAGCTTTTTTTAGTTACAAGAGAAATTGCACACAGTCCTTCATTATAGGGACGACACATCTTACCCCACTCCGTTTAATATAAAAGTCGTAAACTTCTCGGTAAGATCTATTGCATTGGATTCCTGACCGGTGGGTCATGTGACATCTGACCTGAGAAATAATGTGATTTCTGCTTTAATATCACATCTAATGAAATAACCCAGGTCTGCGGTGTTTATTAAAGAGTCTCGCACACGCAGTGGCTTTTGTCTCTGAAGGCATGCTGGGAAAAACGCAGTTATTTTGAGTAAATGTGGAAGAAAGCGCATGAATCTGGCTTTCTTGGAGACCGTAGGGGTGTTTAATCCCGTTTCCTCAGCGTAACCTCAGCTTCAGTGTGTGTGTGTGTGTGTTGCTCTTTCAGACGTGAATCCGTCCTCCTACACGCTTAGATCCGCTCGGCTGGGACACACACACTGCGTTTTTACATCTACTAATGAAAGAGTGGAGTTTGCATGAAAACACTAAAGTTATACTTGTAGAGACTTAACCAATCAGACACAGTTATTTATTATATTTGGAAAGACAGGACTTCTTTGCATTTATTCAATCTCCGGGACATTGTGTGTATGATTATTACTCTCTCTTTCACACACACACACACAGAGTTTTTGTCGAGCACAGAAGAGCAAACGTTGATTAAAGAGTATTTGAGGCCAAGGATGAATCTGTAAAGGCGTCTCGTGTGTGTGTGTGTCGTCGCTCCGGATGGGAAATAACCTGCGCCGCATGAATGGAAAGCGTCAGAGAGCGATTACAGAGACTTTGCTGTGTTAGCGGCTTCCAATCTTCATGAAGACTGAGGGCATCCTGCTGTTCTTCTGCGCAGAGCGACGATAACCGGCTAATTAAACGAGTGCGGGTGTTTAGAGCAGAAACCGCTGACAGGAGAAACCACACGCCTCGGGGAACGTCCTTCTGAAAGTCCTCACTGAATGTCATCTGAAGAGTCTCGTATAAAGAGTTTTAAGACTGGAAATGCATTTTTCTTCCCCCTTAAACATACGTTCTACATATGAAAGGAAGAAGTAAAAAAATAAATAAACGAGAGTAAATGCTAGTAAATGTCGTGATGCCTAGAGCTGCGAGTGAACTATCAAATCCTCTCGCTCTCGCTCATAAACTGTAAAACATTGAGCGTCTCGTTTGCGGTGTTTAACACAGCCGAATTATAGGAGGACATTAAAGGAGTAGTTCACTTTTCAAAAAACTTTGCTGATAATTTACTCACCCCCATGTCATCCAAGATGTCCATGTCTTTCTTTCTTCAGTCGAAAAGAAATTAAGGTTTTTGATGAAAACATTCCAGCATTTTTCTCCATATAATGGACTGCAATGGGAACCAAACGGTTTAAGGTCCAAAAGACAGTTTCAGTGCAAACTGTAAACTGTTCAAAGGGCTTTAAACGATTCCAGACGATGAATAAGGGTCTTATCAAGCAAAACGATCGCTCATTTATAAAAAGTTTAAGTTTTATAAGCTCAAATGGTCGCCTTGCGTTCTGTGATGCACGTTTTGCACTTTGAAAGGTTTGACTCTCCGAACAGTTTGACTCTCCTGTTCGAACTCGTTTATCAAAATGAAAAAATCTTTTTTCGTGTCATTTGGTTCATTCAACGAACGGAATGAATGAGTTGACTCGGGAAAAGATTCGTTCATTTTGATGAACGAGTTTGAACAGGAGAGTCGCACAGAACAGAGCAAGGCGAGCATTTGAGCTTATAAAACTTAAACTTTGTTATTTATTTTTTTCAATGGCCGATTGATAAGACCCTTATTCATCGTCTGCAATCGTTTAAAGTCCTTTGAACAGTTTGCACTGAAACCTTGAATCGTTTGGTTCCCATTGAAGTCCATTATATGGAGAAAAATCCTGGAATGTTTTCATCAAAAACCTTAATTTCTTTTCGACTGAAGGAAGAAAGACATGGACATCTTGGATGACATGGGGGTGAGTAAATTATCAGAAAAGTGAACTACTCCTTTAAGACTCCTATGTTTGATTTTGGTTTTTATTGTGTTCCTCCATCCATCTTCATCTTTTCAGTAATAATCTCTTTTCGTGTTTCAGGCTCTACTAGAACAGGTTTTCCTGCTTGCTTTATTCTGCGTATGAATTATTATAAGTTATAACGAGGAATATTGTGACGTGTTCGTTCCGGGGAGAATCTCAAGACTAGAATGAGTTCAGAAACACTGACTGCGATATAGAGAAGAACGTTTTCATGCTCAAACAGCAACATTACACAGAAAGTGAACTACTACAGAAAAGTGAACTACTCCTTTAAGACTCCTATGTTTGATTTTGGTTTTTATTGTGTTCCTCCATCCATCTTCATCTTTTCAGTAATAATCTCTTTCATTTTGCTAATGCAGCCGAACGCAGGCGGAGCCGTATTTTAATCCAATATGGGTCGAGATATGATCAAAAATGTATAAAGTGGCACGAGTCCAACACTTCAATAACTACTCACACTAGAGATGGCTGATCTTTAATATACACTCTTAGAAGAAAAGGTTCTATCAGCGCTACATATTTGGAACCCCTAAAAGGTTCTATACAGAACCCTTTTTAAGTTCAATAACAATAACCCTTTGTAATCTATATGGAACCTTTTGGGTTCATTCATTATCGTTTGTTTTGTCCTTTCCAGATTAAATATTTCATATTATTGACAAACATCAAGACCCTAAAATTAATTTATGAACTGTAACACGACCAGTTACCGTTTCTTTTACATCTGTAATAAATGTAATGTAAATGACCTCAGTATATGGTGGGCGGTCACATGATAGGAAGAGTCAGTGAGTTTTACCAGTTGAAGCCAGATGTTGGTTGTCAGGACCTGGTTCTTCTCATCCTGGGAATAAAACACAAGAGAGAACAGCCGTCATCTTCGGACGCCATAAAGCGCTTGAGATCGACTCTAAATGTCAGGGAGATTGCGTCGTAATATACAGCTTATTTAAGGAGCGGATGTAAATCATGGCTTTCCCTCTGCTTGAGCTCAAGAGGCGTCTGACATCATTGGTTTATGTACTTCTTGAGTGTTTGATTAGAAAAGCAGGGTTTCTCTGCTGTGATGTGAGCAGGTGTCGTGGCGTCAGGTGTATTTTCAGGACAGGCTTTCAGAAATAGCAAAAATAATCACTGCGAATCACGCAACCGGATCAGTGGCTGTGAAATCTGCATGAAATAGGTTGCAGATCTCTCATTATAAAAGATTGCAGGACTTAGACATAGAAATACTGCATGGCGTCTGGATGTCAGATAGATGGGTTCAGTTGTGCTCGTGTAGATCTCGATTGGAAACTGACATGGCTCTTTCTCCAACTCTAAATGGATTTTCATTTCCATCAAATGCTTCATCAGAGAGTGGAGAGTTCTTAATCAAAGTTTGTATTTCACAAATAGATGTGAACTTCAATATCTGACAACACATCATTAGCACTCTCATCGTTCATCACTATTATTTACAAAATGTAATAAATAAATAATAAAAAATATTTGAGATTAAATGAATGAATTAATAAATTCAGGTCAATATACATAATTTAAATAAATTTGGCTAAATAAATAAACATAAAATAAAAAAAATAACATACAACTAGGTTATATTAAGAAATATTGCAATAAAATATAAACAAACAAGTAAATAAAAAAATATTAGAATCATTTCGAATATACTTTAATATAAAATAATTTTGGTAAAAACATTTTATACACAAAAATACAATAAAAAATTTTAATTTACATATATAAATGTTAAAATAAAATAAATATAACTTTTAATAATCACATAAATATAAAACGTATATATATATAAAAATATAGACTCAATAAAATTAGCGTACATGCATGAATAATTAAATAAATAAATTCAGGTCATTTCTAGTAAATAAATAAATTCAGGTAAAAGCATATAATTATTTTGAATAACACAATAATTTTGGAAAAATAAATAATATATAAAATTTTATACAAAAATCAAGTTAAAATTATATATATATGTAACTAGAAATAGAACAACAAAGAGAGTGAGGTAATGGTAGTCTGTTTGTGAGGTGGTTAAACAGCTGTTGAATCGCATCAGAACAGCTGAAAACATCAGCCATAACACAGCTGAGATCTCCAGCACACACACGCACGCTCATCCGAATACACACACGCGTCACGGTTATAGCCTGCAAACATCAAAGCACACACATACACACACACTCCTCCAGACTCAACTGAGTGAATCCCAATGTTTGCCAGCAATTCAAACCTGAGCAAATGTGAGTTATCGTTTTCATATTAGCGTGAGCTCCTTAAACACAGGCTAGCAGCCAGCATTAATGAGTTCATCATACACTCATTATGTAGTCGAGCGATGGAGTGAGACAACAGTGAGCAATAGAGAGAGAGAGACCTTCTCCTCCATGAGCTCTGTCAACAGATCCACTTCATTTATCTCATTAATATTCAAATTCACACACACACTTTCCTCAGCCACCTAATATAGATTGTATTGCAACCAAAAGACCATTAAAAAGAGATTTTCTAGTTGGATTCCTCAATTTTAGGTTGCTTTGGATAAAAAAGTCTCAATGTAAATAACAGAAGTCTTAGCTGAAATGATCTATATAATATAAACATTTGTGTTCGATCTGACAAACTGCTCATTCCCAATTATCTATTCATATCTGATATTTTTGTGAGGTTTTTCACTCACCACAGATACCTTCTGAATAAAAAGTGCCCAAACCCCTTCTGAAACCATTAAACAGACCAGCCAGACCAGGCTAGCTAAGACCAGCAAATCAGCTATGTTCAGACAGAACTGGATATTCATCTTAATATCATCAAACAATTCAATAATATAATTTCGGTTAGGACCCACGGAGTGCATTAGGATTTTCTGACAAACTGTTCAAAAGTTATTGGCAAAAAAATACATTTTTCAGATCTCATGACCTGTAGGTGGCGCTGTTCCCAAATTTGGCACAACCCCTCAGAACATGGTTCAGATGAAACCTACCAATTTTCGTTACGATTGATCAAAGTTTGGCCAAGATACAGCCTCTGAACCAATTTCGGGTCAACCTAGTTTAGTTTGAAACATCCTATTTTGAACAAATATGAATAAAAATCATGTCTGTGGAGATTGGTCCAAAGATCATCTGACACAATCTGGAATGTGATCAGCACGAAGAGAGCAATCAGGTGTACTAATTTTGATTTTTCTTGATCAAAGGGTTCAAAAGTTAGAAAAGTGAATTTTTTAACTGGTGGTGGCGCTATAGAGTCCAAAATTGGTCAGATTACTATTCATGACTATCACTACAAGTGGTGCCAAATTTCACCATTTCCTATATTCATAGGCGAGTCGGCTGCAACATTGTACATTGGCCTCCGCAGATCATTTGAACGTGTTCCGCCCGAACTTTGTTTATAAAACATAATTTAATATGATATTCACATTCTGTGTTTTATATTAAATTAGGAATTTCTGTCTGAAATGCATTAGGATTAAAAAAAATCCAAGTAGACGGGGCAAAATACTATCAACCAGTAACATCATAGCTCAGTTTTCACCTTCCAATCGAACCCTAATGTGTAAAATCAAGCCCTGTCCAAAGTTCTGATTGAAGTGTGTGTGTGTGTGTGTGTGTGTGTGTGTGTGTGTGTGTGTTTACTCACCACGTCCATGATCTGCATCAGACTGAAGCTGAAGTGCACAGTGAGCGAGTGTGAGTCGTTATAAACGGGTCGTTCCAGAGGGGTGTAGTTTCTCATTAAGTCTTTGTAAAGCCGTCGCTGGTGCTCGCCCTGCAGAGAGACTGACACACACACACACACGTTGGGTTTAAATGTTTTATGGGGACTTTCCATTGACATATTGTTTTTTATACTGACCACAAACACACACACACAATTCTTGACCTATTTTTCAGTTTTAAACCACCAAATCCAGATCCTCAAACCGGTTCTTATCTGGACGAGTTCGACTGTCAGAAGCATTTAACGAACACATTAAAATAATCAAATTCGAATTCTGTCTGAATGTATCCCAGAATTCTCAGCTTTAGACTGTTTAGTTAAGTCTTCTCAGGACTGATGGTGAAGCTCTCGCTAGATTGGGCGGCTTTTAAATGAAGAAGCTTTAATTGACTGAGAAGGTTCAATTACACTAAGTGTTCCCCAAGAGACTGTCTGACCCGCACACGACACACGACACAACACAACACACAATACACGACACACAACACATAACCATCAGCTGTCAAACTGCAAAATCTATCAATCGTTTCCTGCAGGGTGAATATGAACATTCAATCGAGAAGTTAAGGTCACAAGAACAAATCACAGAACAATGACTGAAATCAGTCAGACGGTTGGAAACATAGACTGTAAAAAAAAAAAGGTTTGAGAGCAAAACAAAGTCAAAGGACAGTGACACTGTTTGCTGAGTCTTTCTGAAGAGCTTTACATTCAATGGAAATCAATTGAGATCTAGTAGAATCAGGTTATTAAAAACATGATGATCACAGTCATTTTGGAGAGGATCTGTGGGTGGAAACAACCCTGCTTCAGTTCCAAGATCTTTAGAAAACACACACACACACACACACACACACACACACACACACACACACACACGCAGAAACAAATGCAGGGTGATAAAACATCTGCTTACTTTAGTTCAAACTCTACAGAAACAAAACTCACAGGAGATTTAAATAAATGCATAAATAAACAAATAGATGGATGGATGGATAGATTCCACCTTTTTTGATTAGGCTAAGTAATGATACTTTGATAGCAGTGACATGGTATTCTTTGAAGTATCATGTAACGTTACAGTATAGCCTTTATAGGCTTAATTAATGATA